TCGTTGTTAATTTATAAGTTATGATGGAGATTAACAATGAATTTTACAAATTTTGTCATTTTGGGGATTTTCATTTTTTTCCTAGAACATCACTAAATCTAGACTAAATCTGATTATGGATTATGTATTTTTGATGCATTAGCAACAATTTTTGTGAAAAATATTTTTCTCTATCGCTTTTAGGTTTTGAATTATGATAGATTTTAATAACGCAAATCGTCAATTTTGATATTTTTGGGTTTTTCATTTTTTAACTAACAAATGATTATAACTAAACTAAATCTGGTTATGGATTATGCTTCTTTACTTCATTAGAAACAATTTATGTTAAAGCTATTTTTCTTCATCACCTTTAATTTTTGAGTTATCATCCACTTTAATAACAAAAGTGGTCAATTTTGACATTTTGGGGATTTTCGCTTTCTAACTAACAAATGATTACAATTAAGCTAGTTCTGGTTATGGATTATGTATTTATGCTTCATTAGAAACAATTTTTGTAAAAAACATTTTTCTCCATCATCTTTAATTTTTGAATTATCGTCAACTTTAATAAATAATAAAAATCACAATTTTTGGCATTTTGGGGATTTTCGATTTCTAACTAACAAATGGTTATAATTAAGCTAGTTCTGATTATGGATTATGTATTTATGCTTCATTAGAAACAATTTTTGTGAAAAACATTTTCCTCTATAACCTTTAATTTTTGAGTTATCATCAACTTTAATTACAATAATCATCAACTTTGACATTTTGGGAATGTTCGCTTTCTAACTAACAAATGATTATAATTAAGCTAGTTCTGGTTATGAATTATACATTTATGCTTCATTAGAAACAATTTTTGTAAAAAACATTTTTCTCCATCAACTTTAATTTTTGAGTTATCATCGACTTTAATAAATAATAAAAATTATAATTTTTGACATTTTGGGGATTTTCGATTTCTAACTAACAAATGATTATAATTAAGCTAGTTCTGGTTATGGATTATGAATTTATGGTTCATTAGAAACAATTTTTCTAAAAAATATTTTTCTCTATCGCGTTTAGTTTTTGAGTTATCATAAAGTAAAATAACGAAAATCGTCAATTTTAAGATTGTGGGGATTTTCACTTTCTAACTAAAACCAGGTTATATATAAATTAAATCTGATTATAGATTATGTATTTATAATTCATTAGAAACAATTTTTGTGAAAAACATTTTTCTCCATCACCTTTAATTTTTCAGTTATCATCGACTTTAATAAATAATAAAAATTTCAATTTTTGACATTTTGGGGATTTTCGCTTTCTAACTAACAAATGATTATAATTAGGTTGGCTCTGGTTATGGATTATGTATTTATGCTTCATTAGAAACAATTTTTGTAAAAAACATTTTTCTCTATCGCGTTTAGTTTTTGAGTTATCATGAACTAAAATAACCAAAATTGTCAATTTTGATATTTTGGGGGGTTTCGCTTTCTAACTATTTCTAACGAATCATGCTTGCTTGCATCATTAGAAACAATTTATGTTAAAAACATTTTCCTCCATCTCTTAAAATTTTTGAGTTATCGTCAATTTCAATTATAACAATCATCAAGTTTGACATTTTGGGGATTTTCGATTTCTAACTAACAAATGGTTATAATTAGGTTGGCTCTGGTTATGGATTATGCCTTATTGGTACATTATAACCAATAATACCTAACCTTGTTGTTAATTTATGAGTTATGATCGAGATTAACAATGAATGTTATAAATTTTGACACTTTGGGGATTTTCATTTTCTCCCTAGAACACAACTAAATCTAGACCAAATCAAATTATGGATTATGTATTTATGCTTCATTAGCAACAATTTTTGTAAAAAACATTTTTCTCCATCACCTTTAGTTTTTGAGTTATCGTCGACTTTAATAAATAACAAAAAGTATAATTTTTGACATTTTGGGGATTTTCGATTTCTAACTAACAAATGATTATAATTAAGCTAGTTCTGATTATGGATTATGAATTTATGGTTCATTGGAAACAATTTTTGTAAAAAATATTTTTCTCTATCGCGTTTAGTTTTTGAGTAATGATGAAGTAAAATAAGGAAAATCGTCAATTTTGATATTTTGAGGATTTTCACTTTCTAACGAAACAGTGGTTACAACTAAACTAAATCTGGTTATGGATTATGCTTCCTTGCTGCATTAAAAACAATTTATGTTAAAACTATTTTTCCCCATCACCTTTAATGTTTGAGTTATCATCGACTTTAATTACGATAATCGTGAATTTTGACATTTTGGGGATTTTCGCTTTCTAACTAAAAATTGGTTATAATTAAGTGCGTTCTGGTTATGGATAATATATTTATGCTTCAATAGAAACAATTTTTGTGCAAAATATTTTTCTCTATCGCGTTTTATTTTTGAGTTATAATAAACTAAAATAACGAAAATTGTCAATTTTGATATTTTGGGGATTTTCACTTTCTAACTAAACAGTGGTTAAAACTAAACTAAATTTGGTTATGGATTGTGTTTCTTTACTTCATTAGATACAATTTATGTTAAAACTATTTTTCACCATTATCTTTAATTTTTGAGTTATCATCAACTTTAATTACAATAATCATCAACTTTGACATTTTGGGGATTTTCGCTTTCTAACTAACAAATGATTATAATTAGGTTGGCTCTGGTTATGGATTATGCCTTATTGGTACATTATAACCAAATGATGTATAAAACATTTGTCTCCCTTGTTGTTAATTTATGAGTTATGATCGAGATTAACAATGAATGTTATAAATTTTGACATTTTGGGGATTTTCATTTTCTNAAAAACATTTTTCTCCATCACCTTTAATTTTTCAGTTATCATCGACTTTAATAAATAATAAAAATTTCAATTTTTGACATTTTGGGGATTTTCGCTTTCTAACTAACAAATGATTATAATTAGGTTGGCTCTGGTTATGGATTATGTATTTATGCTTCATTAGAAACAATTTTTGTAAAAAACATTTTTCTCTATCGCGTTTAGTTTTTGAGTTATGATGAACTAAAATAACGAAAATTGTCAATTTTGATATTTTGGGGGTTTTCGCTTTCTAACTAAAAACTGGTTACAACTAAACTAAATCTGGTTATGAATTATGCTTGCTTGCATCATTAGAAACAATTTATGTTAAAAACATTTTCCTCCATCTCTTTAAATTTTTGAGTTATCGTCAATTTCAATTATAACAATCATCAAGTTTGACATTTTGGGGATTTTCGATTTCTAACTAACAAATGGTTATAATTAGGTTGGCTCTGGTTATGGATTATGCCTTATTGGTACATTATAACCAATAATACCTAACCTTGTTGTTAATTTATGAGTTATGATCGAGATTAACAATGAATGTTATAAATTTTGACACTTTGGGGATTTTCATTTTCTCCCTAGAACACAACTAAATCTAGACCAAATCAAATTATGGATTATGTATTTATGCTTCATTAGCAACAATTTTTGTAAAAAATATTTTTCTCTATCGCTTTTAGTTTTTGAGTTATAACCGTCTTTAATAACAATATTCATAATTTTTGACATTTTGGGGATTTTCACTTTCTAACTAAAATATAACCATGTAAATCATGATTTTAATCCTTTAATAACCAATATTATATTTTTTTAATCATAACCTCAATATTTAACCTCAAATTTTGACAAAAGTCATTTTAACAGTTGACATATTTAAACGTCACTTTCAATCGATCAATCAATTGTGAACATAGCAACACAATACGATTGTCGGAAACTTCAAAATTTTGACAGATGTCAAATAATAATTGGTTTAATTGAATTTTTTGAATCTAAGACCGCACCTTTTAAATAGAAAAGAAGAAAACAGAAAAATGACGAGAGAGGCTCATCCCGTTTGTTCTTCTTCTTCTTCCTCTTTGGGTGGGGCCGTCCCGTGCGAAATCGTCGAATGGCGTCTCCCACGACCCGACCAAAGCCCCCTCGGACGCCCCCGCACTACTAAAAGGTCGCCAGAATGCCATCCTTGCGTAGAAAAGAATCATAACGAAAAATATAAAATCCCAAAAAAAAAAAAAATTAAGACTCCTAATTTGAAAGGATTTAATTATAACGGGGGCTGAGTCCGATTCTGTCCCTCCGGCAATTGGCGCAGGTTCATTGTTATTCAACTGTTTCCGGTGCACGCCCTCTACACAGCCGATGCGTGCATCCGCACACCGAGGTCACCGACCTTTTCACTCTTGCGTTTCTTACACGCATTCTATATTGTTTTTATTAAATTTTTTTGAAAAATAGACGTTTTCTGCGCAAGATCACGAGCGTGTTACGCAAAAGAAGTCGCCTTGCTGACGCCGCTGATCCTCAGCGAATCTAGGATGATGATATCTTTATCTTTTATATTCTCCGTCTTTTACTATGTTATTTTAGCATCACTTTCACCTGAGTTTCAATTTTATGTCGATTTTTTTGTAATTTTGGGTTAAAATTTGACAGGTAAGCGGCCATTTTGGAAAAAATTAATTTCAATTATATTTAGTTTTAAAATAAATAAATGAAATTTTTTTCTTTGTCATTGTTATTTCATTTAGGTGGCGATAAAGAGCGATATATCTTGCGAGAGAGAGCGGTGGCGCATCGTTACGGGCGTAGCTGGTTTGTATTTCAAGGCAAACGGGTGTCATCTGCTCACGCGGCAACGCCGCTCTCCGTCATTCTCTTTTAAAATCCGTCTCGTTCTAATGCCGTTGTTTCGCGAGTTCGTGCCGTTTTCTTTCCTCTTTCGTTTCGGTTTTGTATTCTCTCTTCTCCTCCGTTAGAGTGACTACTCACTAGTGATGGTCGTCGTCGTTGTCGAAGCCTTGGGTGTGGTCGTCGAGGATTACGACGATTCCGAGACCCATCCCACGATAAATTACACACTCACACAGAATGTCACATCAACTTTTTGTTCAAAATTTCTTAAAAATTTAATTTTTACTCACCATGAAAACCATTAAAATAGTTTCTTAATCGGCGTCCAACGCCTCACAAACAAATTGTTATTGATCCAAAATAATTCTTTTCTTTTCGACCTCTTCGTCACCGACCTCTTCGATCCATTTTTTTTCAAATCCTGCAAAAAATTCGGTTTATATCAGCTTGAGGAGATGGAGATTTGAGTCGAAATGGGACATTTTAAGGCGGTAATTAAAGTATTTGGGAACAATAAATTTTTTTTCGTTTTGTGTATAATGCAACTGTTTGAGATTACCGTTTGCGGTGGGTTTATCAACTCAGTCGGGCATAGATAGTAGCTTATCAATGTTGTTTTTGAATTTTTGCGTGAAGGTATGTTAGATCCACGTGTTCTTTGTGGAAATAAAGATAACGCAACTTGGGCGTTGGTTCTTTTATTACTTATTAATTCATTCATAATTGTCAAATTTGACAGTTAAGCGGCCATCTTGATTAGGAATTATCTTCAAAATTGAGATGAAATCGGCGATGAACTTAAATTCGAATTTAAAAAACGTCGATTTTAATCAAAAATATTCTTAACAATTTTTGTTTGCACCTTTTTGAATCAACTTTAATCGGGATTCAACACAAAAAGTTTATTCTACTGTTTATCAAAAAAATAATACATTTTGACAGTTGGGCGGCCATTTTGATTCAAAAATTGATATTTTTAATTAATCTAACCTCGCAATTATCATCAAAATTAAGATAAAATGTGATTTTTCATATCTACTTAAAATTTTGACATTTGGACAGCCATTTTGATGCGTCACATTGACATTTTCAAATTAATTTTTAACCCAACCTCGCGATTATCATCAAAATTAAAATAAAATGTAATTTTCCATCTTTACTTAAATTCTGACATTAAATTTTGACATTTAGACTCCTTTTTGACAGTTAGGAGGCCATTTTGATTTGGAAAAATGACATTTTTAAATTAATTTTTAACCGTACCTTACGATTATGACCAAAATTAAGATAAAATCAGTGATTTTTCATATCTACATAAATCCTGACATTAAATTTTGCCAGTTAGTCGGCCATTTTGATTACAAAATTGATATTTTTAAATTAATTTTTAAACCAACCTCGTGATTATCGTCAAAATTAAGATAAAATCAGTCATTTTTCGTCTCTACATAAATCCTGACATTAATTTTTGACAGTTAGGCAGCCATTTTGGTTACAAAATTGAAATTTTTAGATTAATTTTTAACCCACCCTCGCAGCTATCATCAAAATTAAGATAAAATCAATGTTTTTTTCATCTTTACTTACATTCTAGCATTAAATTTTGACATTAGGCGGCCAATTTGATTCGGAAAATTGACATTTTTAAATTAATTTTTAACCCAACCTCGCGATTATTATCAAAATTGAGATAAAATGTAATTTTTTATCCCTACTTAAATTCTGACATTAAATTTTGACAGTTACGCGGCCATTTTGATTACAAAATTGAGACTTTTAAATTAATATTTAACCCAACCTCGCGATTATGATCAAAATTAAGATAAAATCAGTGATTTTTCATATCTACATAAACTCCGACATAAAATTTTGACAGTTAGTCGGCCATTTTGATTACAAAATTGACATTTTTAAATCAATTTTTAACTCAACCTCGCGATTATCATCAAAACTAAGATAAAATCAATGTTTTTTCATCTTTACTTACATTCTGGCATTAAATTTTGACATTAGGCAGCCATTTTGATGCGGAAAATTGACATTTTCAAATTCCAACCTCGCGATTATCATCAAAATTAAAATAAAATCTAATTTTTCATCTTTACTTAAATTCTGACATTAAATTTTGACATTTAGACTCCTGACATTAATTTTTGACAGTTAGGAGGCCATTTTGATTTGGAAAAATGACATTTTTAAATTAATACCTTACGATTATAACCAAAATTAAGATAAAATCAGTGATTTTTCATATCTACATAAATTCTGACATTAAATTTTGACAGTTAGTCGGCCATTTTGATTACAAAATTGATATTTTTAAATTAATTTTTAAACCAACCTCGTGATTATCGTCAAAATTAAGATAAAATCAGTGATTTTTCATCTCTACATAAATCCTGACATTAATTTTTGACAGTTAGGCAGCCATTTTGGTTACAAAATTGACATTTTTAAATCTATTTTTAAGCTAACCTCGTAATTATCATCAAAATTAAGATAAAATCAGTGATTTTTCAGCTCTATATAAATTCTGACGTTAAATTTTGACCTTAGGCGGCCATTTTGATTCGGAAAATTGACATTTTTAAATTAATTTATAACCCAACCTCGCGATTATTATCAAAATTGAGATAAAATGTATTTTTTCAGCCCTACTTAAATTCTGACATTAAATTTTGACAGTTAAGCGGCCATTTTGATTAAGAAAATTGATATTTTTAAAATAATTTTTAACCCTAATCTCTCAAAAACCATCAAAATTGAAGTAAAATGTGATTTCTAATCTCTACTTAAATTCTGACATTAAATTTTGACAGTTAGTCGGCCATTTTGATTACAAAATTGAGATTTCTAAATCAATTTTTAACCCAACCTCGCGATTATCACCAAAATTAAGATAAAATCAGTGATTTTTCATCTCTACATAAACTCTGACAATAAATTTTGACATCTAGGCGACCATTTTGATTACAAAATTAATATTTTTAAATTAATTTTTAACCCAACCTCGCGATTATGATCAAAATTAAAATAAAATCAGTGATTTTTCATATCTACATAAATTCTGACATAAAATTTTGACAGTTAGTCGGCCATTTTGATTACAAAATTTACATTTTTAAATCAATTTTTAACTCATCCTCGCGATTATCATTAAAATTAACATAAAATCAATGTTTTTTCATCTTTACTTACATTCTGACATTAAATTTTGACAGTTAGGTAGCCATTTTGATTCGGAAAATTGACACTTTTAAAATAATTTTTAACCCTAATCTCTCAAAAACCATCAAAATTGATGTAAAATATGATTTCTAATCTCTACTTAAATTCTGACATTACATTTTGACAGTTAGACGGCCATTTTGATTACAAAAATTTAAATTTTAAATCAATTTTTAACTCAACCTCGCGATTATCATCAAATTTAACATAAAATCACTGTTTTTTCATCTTTACTTACATTCTGGCATTAAATTTTGACAGTTAGGTAGCCATTTTGATTCGGAAAATTAACATTTTTAAAATAATTTTTAACCCTAATCTCTCAAAAACCATCAAAATTGATGTAAAATGTGATATCTACTCTCTACTTAAATTCTGACATTAAATTTTGACAGTTAGTCAGCCATTTTGATTACAAAATTGACATTTTTAAATCAATTTTTAACTCAACCTCGCGATTATCATCAAAATTAACATAAAATCAATTTTTTTTCATCTTTACTTACATTCTAACATTAAATTTTGACAGTTAGGTAGCCATTTTGATTCGGAAAATTGACATTTTTAAAATAATTTTTAACCCTAATCTCTCAAAAACCATCAAAATTGATGTAAAATGTGATTTCTAATCTCTACTTAAATTCTGACATTACATTTTGACAGTTAGACGGCCATTTTGATTAAAAAAATTTAAATTTTAAATCAATTTTTAACCCAACCTCGCGATTATCATCAAAATTAAGATAAAATCAGCGATTTTTCATCTCTGCATAAATCCTGACGTTAATTTTTGACAGTTAAGCGGCCATTTTGACTAAGAAAATTGATATTTTTAAAATAATTTTTAACCCTAATCTCTTAAAAACCATCAAAATTGAAGTAAAATGTGATTTCTAATATCTACTTAAATTCTGACATTAAATTTTGACAGTTAGACGGCCATTTTGATTAAAAAAATTTAATTTTTAAATCAATTTTTAACCCAACCTCGCGATTATCATCAAAATTAAGATAAAATCAGCGATTTTTCATCTCTGCATAAATCCTGACGTTAATTTTTGACAGTTAAGCGGCCATTTTGATTAAGAAAATTAATATTTTTAAAATAATTTTTAACCCTAATCTCTTAAAAACCATCAAAATTGAAGTAAAATGTGATTTCTAATCTCTACTTAAATTCTGACATTAAATTTTGACAGTTAGGCGGCCATTTTAATTAGAAAATTTTAATTTTTAAATTAAATTTTAACCCCAATTCCTCAATAAACATCAAAATTGAGATAAAATGTGATTTTTCATCTCTACTTAAATTCTGATATTAAATTTGGACAGTTAAGCGGCCATTTTAATTACAAAATTTTAATTTTCAACTTAATTTTTAAATCTAATTCCTCAATAAACAACAAAGTTGAGATAAAATGCGATTTTTCATCTCTACTTAAATTCTGATATTAAATTTTGACAGTTAGGCGGCCATTTTAATTACAAAATTTTAATTTTCAACTTAATTTTTAACCCCAATTTCTCAAAAACATCAACATTAAAATAAAATCAGTAACATTTCATGTTTACATAAATTCTAACATTAAATTTTGACAGTTAGGCCGCCATTTTTATTCGAAAAATGTCATTTTTAAATTAATTTTTAACCCAAATTAATCAAAATTGAGGTAAAATGTGATTTTCCATCTCTCTATTTAAATCCTGACATTAAATTTTGACACTTAGGCAGCCATATTGATTCGGAAAATTGACATTTTCAAATTAATTTTTAACCCAACCTCGCGATTATCTTCAAAATTGAAATAAAATAAGATTTTTCATCTCCACTTCAATTCTGGCATTAAATTTTGACAGTTTAGCGGCCATTTTGATAACAGAAATTTAATTTTCAAATTAAATTTTAACCCCAATTAATCAATAAACACCAAAATTGAGATAAAATGTGATTTTCCATCTCTACTTAAATTTTAACATTAAATTTTGACAATTAGGCGGCCATTTTGATCACAAAATTTTAATTTTCTAATTAATTTTTAACTCCAATAACTTTTAAAATCTAACTTTTCATCTCTATTTAAATCTTCACATTAAGTTTTGACAGTTAGACGGCCATTTTGATTCGGAAAATGTCAATTTTTAGATTAATTTTTAATTGTTACACATCATATATATTTTATTTAATTTTTATAACTTACCAATAAATTAAATGCCCCAAAAAAGCGCCCCGACGCCTTCCTCGATCTTCTATTTGCTCGTTAAAATTATTTGTTTCAGCAACAAACAAAAAACGTTGTTTTCGTCACAGTTTCAACAAAAAAAAACGGAATCGCGCGTCACGACGCGACCGGAAGTCGACTTCGCAAATCGTTTTTCTTTACTAATAATTATTTAATTAATTTTTCTTCGCCACTTTTAAAATTTTAAATTAATTAATTTTTTAATTTTAATTAAAACAATCGTCCGATATTTTAAAAATAATTTTTGTTTAAAAATTTTGTCGTCGGCGGCGTCGGCAATAAATCGCGGCGCTCGAACAACGCGTTATCGTCGTCCGGGGGCTTCCGGGCATAGTTCCAGGAGGAGGAGGCGCCGTGGTGACCGCGCGACGCCCCGCGTAGCACTGGGGGGCCCCCGTCGCGGCGCTTTAGAATCATAACGCACCGCCGCGCGCCGCCGTCTACGATCGCGTTCCCCACTACAAAGCGATTTTATTGCTTCTCTTTCTTTGCGTTGTGTTGTTGTTGTTGGTGGGGCCCCTTCCACTCATTCTTTCTATCCGGGTTTACCTAAAAAGAAAAAAATTATTAATTAAAAAATAATAATAATAATATAGGCAACATCATTATCCCCCACGCAAAGTTGGTTGCATAACATCGGTGTAACATTGTTTGCATAACTACCACAACAACATTCGTGTTAAGATTCAATTAACCCAAAAAAAAATTTATATTAAACGATATCGTGATGTGATGTGACCTTGTTTTTCAATTCGTTATGTAATTTTTTTGATAACAACCTCGAATTGATTTCAGCTAAGAAAAGAAGACCACGAATGTAACACTGTCTCTTATTATTTGAGTATTAAATGGTGATTTCGTGCCAGGAGGATCAGAAATCGTCCAAACTCAGTACGAAATGGGTATTTGTGGTAAATTAACGCTGATTTTGTTAACCGGCTTGGCCGTGTTTATCGGGATGAAATTAAACGCTTTAAATGCCGTACCTGAAGTGCCGAAACTGGAAGATACTTGGTGGGGCCCTGGCGATCCAAAAAAAGTCGATCCCGCAATTAAAACCTTTAAAATCGACGTCCCCGAAAAGGTAAGGCTCCATCTTTTTTTTAGTTATGTTTTTGTTTCAAGCGGAAGTCGCTTGTTTTAGCATGATTTTTAATTTTTGTCGTTTTGCAAGTCATCAAATAGTCACGATATCACTTTTTAAAATGCATTATGAATCAACATTATTTATTTTATCAAATTATGCAATAATTATCTTATCAAACGTTTTATTTAATTAGTCACCTTATTTGACATCTCATTTGACATCTTATTTGACATCTCATTTGACATCTAATTTGACAATTCATTATTTTATATTTTTTTTTAATTTTTGTCCTTTTGCAAGTCATCAAATAATCACGATATCACTTTTTAAAATACATTATGAATCAACATTATTTATTTTATCAAATTATGCAATAATTAAAATTAATCATAAGAATCAATCATTTTTGTGCTGTCAATTCTGTGGCGATTTATTTGAACGAAAAGTTAGTAAGTTAATTTATTTTATTAATTAATTGAGTAATTTATTAATTTGCAACTTTATTTATTTATTCTTTTATGAAAATTTAAATAAATAAATTTATTTTAAAAAAATAAAAATAATTACAGAATTAACTCCATCTATCGTTTATTTTTGACATTTAAGACCAGGTTGTATTTCTCCGAAAATTATTAAATTTTACCAAAAAACAGTTTAATTGAGACGAAAAAATACGTTTTTAGACTCCCAATCTATTTATTTAAAGTGATTTTAGATCCCACGAAGGAATTATCCTCCTAAAATTAATCATTCAAGTTTAATAAACAAAAACCTAACCTCACTTTTTGTGCTGTCAATTCTGTGGCGATTTATTTGAATGAAAAATTAGTAAGTTAATTTATTTTATTTATTTATTCTTTAATGAAAATTTAAATAAATAAATTTATTTTAAAAAAATAAAGAAAATTAAAGAATTAGCTCCATCTATCGTTTATTTTAAACTTTATTTCTGACATTTAAGACCAGGTCGTATTTCTTCCGAAAATGATTAAATTTTACCAAAAAACAGTTTAATTGAGCCGAAAAATCCGTCGAAACACGTTTTTAAACTCCCAATCTATTTATTTAAAGTGATTTTAGATCCCACGAAGAAATTATCCTCCCAAAATTAAATAATTCAAGTTTCATAAACAAAAACCTAACCTCACTTTTTGCGCTGTCATTTTTGTGGTGATTTATTTAAACGAAAAGTTATAAGTTAATTTATTTTATTAATTAATTGAGTAATTTACGAATATTTTATTTAATTAGTCATCTTATTTGACATCTCATTAGATTTGACAGTTCCTTTTATATTTTTTTTAATTTAATTTAATATTTTTTAGGTTTTAGATGATTTAAAATCTCGTCTCCAACATGCAAGACCTTTCGTAACCCCTCTAGAAAATTCCCAACAAAATTATGGAATTAATTCGAAATTATTACAAGAAATCGTTGATTTTTGGAAAACCAAGTACGATTGGCGTCAACGAGAAAAATTTTTAAACAAATTCCCCCAATTTATCACCAACATCCAAGGTTTAAATATCCATTACCTCCATGTTAAGCCCCAACAAGTTCCCTCAACCACCAAAGTCCTCCCGTTACTCTTACTTCATGGTTGGCCTGGTTCCGTGAGGGAATTTTACGAAATTATCCCCCTTTTAACAACTCCCCGAAAAGGACAAAACTTTGTCTTTGAAGTAATCGCGCCGAGTTTGCCGGGATATGGATTTTCGGAAGGTGCTTCTAAACCGGGGTTGGGACCGCCCCAAATGTCGATTATTTTTAAGAATTTAATGAAACGTATTGGGTTTGAAAAGTTTTATGTGCAAGGGGGTGATTGGGGGTCGGTTATCGTCGCGAATATGGCTGTTTTAATCCCAGATAATTTATTGGGAGTTCACTCAAACATGTGCTTTAGTTTAGCTCCTTCTGCTACTTTAAAACACCTATTTTGGAGCATTTATCCATCGGCTATCGTCGAAAAAGAACACGAACACAAAATGTACCCCATTGGAAAAATTTATGAAAACATTTTATTGGAGTTTGGTTACATGCATATTCAATCGACGAAGCCGGATACGGTTGGAGTTGGTTTGAATGATTCCCCGGTTGGTTTGGCAGCTTATATTTTGGAAAAATTCACTACTTGGACTAATCCAGCTTGGAAAAATCAAGATGATGGTGGTTTAAAAGGAAGGTATATGTATGCTGATTTATTGGATAATGTTATGATTTATTGGGTCACCAACTCCATCACAACCTCAATGAGATTATATTCAGAACAATTTAATAAAGCTACTATGGAAATGAAACTTGGAAAGTAAGTAAATAAGTTTTATTAAATATTTTAGTTATTATAGGTTGGTAATAACAAAGTTAGGTTATAATCGCTTCTTTTTAAAGAAATTTCTCTTTCATTTATACCTAATAATACTTTATTTAATCTAAAAAAACATCAGCTATTTTAATTGAAAAACATAACCTCACTTTTTAAGCTGTCAATTTAAAATTTGGAGATTTATTTGAACGAAAAATTAGTAAGTTAATTTATTTTATTAATTAAGTGGGCAATTTATAAATTTGCAACTTTATTTTTATATGAAAACTTTAATTAACAAATTTATTTTAAAAAATTTAAAAATTTAAAGAATTAGCTCCATCTATCGTTCATATTAAACTCAATTCTTGACATCTAAGACCCTAAAATGATTAAATTTTACCAAAAAACGGTTTAATTGAGTCGAAATCAACATCGAAATACGTTTTTAAACTCCCAATCTACGTATTTAAAGTGATTTTAGGTCCCACGAAGAAATTATCTTCCCAAAATTAATCATTCAAGTTTCATAAACAATAAACCTAACCTCACTTTTTATAAGTTAGTAAGTTAATTTATTTTATTAATTAATTGAGTAATTTATTAATTTGCAACTTTATTTATTTATTCGTTTATGAAAATTTAAAAAATAAATTTATTTTAAAAAAATTAAAGAATTAGCTCCATCTATCGTTTATTTTAAACTTTATTTTTGACATTTAAGACCAAGTTGTATTTCTTCCGAAAATTATTAAATTTTACCAAAAAACAGTTTAATTGAGTCGAAAAAATACGATTTAAAATTCCCAATCTATTTATTTAAAGTGATTTTAGATTCCACGAAGAAATTATTCTCCTAAAATTAATTATTCAAGTTTCATAAACAAAAACCTAACCTCACTTTTTGCGCTGTCATTTTTGTGGTGATTTATTTAAACGAAAAGTTAGTAAGTTAATTTATTTTATTAATTAATTGAGTAATTTACGAATATTTTATTTAATTAGTCATCTTATTTGACATCTCATTAGATTTAACAGTTCCTTTTATATATTTTTTAATTCAATTTAATATTTTTTAGGTTTTAGATGATTTAAAATCTCGTCTCCAACATGCAAGACCTTTCGTAACCCCTCTAGAAAATTCCCAACAAAATTATGGAATTAATTCGAAATTATTACAAGAAATCGTTGATTTTTGGAAAACCAAGTACGATTGGCNGCCGAAATCAACATCGAAATACGTTTTTAAACTCCCAATCTACGTATTTAAAGTGATTTTAGGTCCCACGAAGAAATTATCTTCCCAAAATTAATCATTTAAGTTTTATAAACAAAAACCTAACCTCACTTTTTGTGCTGTCAATTGTGTGGCGATTTATTTGAACGAAAAGTTAGTAAGTTAATTTATTTTATTAATTAATTGAGTAATTTATTAATTTGCATCTTTATTTATTTATTTTTCTATAAAAATTTAAAATAATAATTTTTTTTTTAATTAAAAGAATTAGCTCTTAGCTCCATCTATCGTTCATATTTGTTCATATTAAACTCTATTTTTGACGTTTAAGACCCGGCTGCATTTTTTCCGAAAATTATTTAATTTTATCAAAAAACGGTTTAATTGAGGCGAAAAAAACGTCGTAATACGTTTTTAAACTCTCAATCTATCTATTTAAAGTGATTTTAGGTCCCACGAAGAAATTATCCTCCCAAAATTAATCATTCAAGTTTCATAAACAAAAACATAACCTCACTTTTTGTGCTGTTAATTCTGTGGCGATTTATTTGAACGAAAAGTTAGTAAGTTAATTTATTTTATTAATTAATTGAGTAATTTATTAATTTGCAACTTTATTTATTTATTTTTCTATTAAAACTTAAAATAATAAATTTATTTTTTTTTTAATTATAAGATTTAGCTCCATCTATCGTTCATATTAAACTCTATTTTTGACGTTTAAGACCCGGCTGCATTTCTTCCGAAATTTATTAAATTTTATCAAAAAACGGTTTAATTGAGCCGAAAGCAACATCGAAATACGTTTTTAAACTCCGAATCTATGTATTTAAAGTGATTTTAAGTCCCACGAAGAAATTATCTTCCCAAAATTAATCAGTCAAGTTTTATAAACAAAAACCTAACCTCACTTTTTGTGCTGTCAATTGTGTGGCGATTTATTTGAACGAAAAGTTAGTAAGTTAATTTATTTAATTAATTAATTGAGTAATTTATTAATTTGCAACTTTATTTATTTATTTTTCTATAAAAACTTAAAATAATAAATTTATTTTTTTTTTTTTTTAATTAAAAGAATTAGCTCCCTCTATCGTTCATATTAAACTCTATTTTTGACGTTTAAGACCCGACTGCATTTCTTCCGAAAATTATATAATTTGATCAAAAAACGGTTTAAATGAGCCGAAAACAACATCGAAATACGTTTTTAAACTCCCAATCTACCTATTTAAAGTGATTTTAGGTCCCACGAAGAAATTATCTTCCCAAAATTAATCATTCAAGTTTCATAAACAATAAACCTAACCTCACTTTTTATAAGTTAGTAAGTTAATTTATTTTATTAATTAATTGAGTAATTTATTAATTTGCAACTTTATCTATTTATTTTTCTGTGAAAACTTAAAATAATAATTTTATTTTTTTTTAATTAAAAGAATTAGCTCCATCTATCGTTCATATTAAACTCTCTTTTTGACATTGAAGACCCAGTTGCATTTCTTCCGAAAATTATTAAATTTTATCAAAAAACAGTTTAATTGAGCCGAAAACAGCATCGAAATACGTTTCTAAGCTCCCGATCTATGTATTTAAAGTGGTTTTAGGTCCCACGAAGAAATTATCCTCTCAAAATTAATCATTCAAGTTTTATAAACAGAAACCTAACCTCACTTTTTGTGCTGTCAATTCTGTGGCGATTTATTTGAACGAAAAGTTAGTAAGTTAATTTATTTTGTTAATTAACTGAGTAATTTATTAATTTGCAACTTTCTTTATTTATTTTTCTATGAAAACTTACAATAATAAATTTATTTTTTTTAATTAAAGAATTAGCTCCATCTCTCGTTTATTTTAAACTTTATTTCTGACATTTAAAACCAAGTTGCATTTCTTCCGAAAATTATAAAATTTTATCAAAAAACGGTTTAATTGAGCCGAAAACAATATCGAAATACGTTTTTAAACTCCCAATCTATGTATTTAAAGTGATTTTAGGTCCTAGGAAGAAATTATGCTCCCAAAATTAATCATTCAAGTTTTATAAACGAAAACCTAACCTCACTTTTGTGGTGTCAATTTTGTGCCGATTTATTTGAACGAAAAGTTAGTAAGTTAATTTATTTTGTTAATTAATTGAGTAAATTATTAATTTGCATCTTTATTTATTTATTTTTCTATAAAAACTTAAAATAATAATTTTTTTTTTTAATTAAAAGAATTAGCTCCATCTATCGTTCATATTAAATTCTATTTTTGACATTTAAACCCCAATTGCATTTCTTTCGAAAATTATTAAATTTTACCAAAAAACGGTTTAATTGAGCCGAAAAAAACGTCGAAATACGTTTTTAAACTCCCAATCTATGTATTTAAAGTGATTTTAGGTCCCACGAAGAAATTATCCTCCCAAAATTAATCTTCAAGTTTCATAAACAAAAACCTAACCTCACTTTTGTGGTTTCAATTTTGTGTCGATTTATTTGAACGAAAAGTTAGTAAGTTAATTTATTTTATTAATTAATTGAGTAATTTATTAATTTGCAACTTTATTTAATATTTTTCTATGAAAACTTAAAATAATAAATTTATTTTTTTTTAATTACAAGAATTAGCTCCATCTATCGTTCATATTAAACTCTATTTTTGACGTTTAAGACCCGGCTGCATTTCTTCAGAAAATTATTTAATTTTATCAAAAAACGGTTTAATTGAGCCGAAAAAAAAGTCGTAATACGTTTTTAAACTCCCAATTTATTTATTTAAAGTGATTTTAGGTCCTACGAAGAAATTATCCTCCTAAAATTAATCATTTAAGTTTAATAAAGAAAAACCTAACCTCACTTTTTGTGCTGTCAATTTTGTGGTGATTTATTTGAACGAAAAATTAGTAAGTTAATTTATTTTGTTAATTAATTGAGTGATTTATTAATTTACAACTTTATTTATTTATTTTTCTATGAAAACTTAAAATAATNATTTGAACGAAAAGTTAGTAAGTTAATTTATTTAATTAATTAATTGAGTAATTTATTAATTTGCAACTTTATTTATTTATTTTTCTATAAAAACTTAAAATAATAAATTTATTTTTTTTTTTTTTTAATTAAAAGAATTAGCTCCCTCTATCGTTCATATTAAACTCTATTTTTGACGTTTAAGACCCGACTGCATTTCTTCCGAAAATTATATAATTTGATCAAAAAACGGTTTAAATGAGCCGAAAACAACATCGAAATACGTTTTTAAACTCCCAATCTATGTATTTAAAGTGATTTTAGGTCCCACGAAGAAATTATCGTCCCAAAATTAATCATTCAAGTTTCATAAACAAAAACCTAACCTCACTTTTTGTGCTGTCAATTTTGTGGTGATTTATTTGAACGAAAAGTTAGTAAGTTAATTTATTTTGTTAATTAATTGAGTAATTTATTAATTTGCAACTTTATTTATTTATTTTTCTATAAAAACTTGAAATAATAAATTTATTTTTTTTTAAATTAAAAGAATTAGCTCCATCTATCGTTCATATTAAACTCTATTTTTGACATTTAAAACCCAGTTGTATTTCGTCTCAAAAATTATTAAATTTTACCCAAAAACGATTTAATTGAGCCGAAAACAACATCGAAATACGTTTTTAAACTCCCAATCTATGTATTTAAAGTGATTTTAGGTCCCACGAAGAAATTATCCTCCCAAAATTAATCATACAAGTTTTATAAACATAAACCTAACCTCACTTTTGTGGTTTCAATTTTGTGGCGATTTATTTGAACGAAAAGTTAGTAAGTTAATTTATTTTATTAATTAATTGAGTAATTTATTTATTTATTTTTCTATAAAAACTTAAAATAAATTTATTTTTTTTTAATTAAAAGAATTAGCTCCATCTATCGTTCATATTAAACTCTATTTTTGACATTTAAGCCCCAATTGCATTTCTTTCGAAAATGATTAAATTTTACCAAAAAACGGTTTAATTGAGCCGAAAACAACATCGAAATACGTTTTTAAACTCCAAATCTATCTATTTAAAGTGATTTTAGGTCCCACGAAGAAATTATCATCCCAAAATTAATCATTCAAGTTTCATAAACAAAAACCTAACCTCACTTTTGTGGTTTCAATTTTGTGGCGATTTATTTGAACGAAAAGTTAGTAAGTTAATTTATTTTATTAATTAATTGAGAATTTATTAATTTGCAACTTTATTTATTTATTTTTCTATGAAAACTTAAAATAATAAATTTATTTTTTTTAAATTAAAAGATTTAGCTCCATCTATCGTTCATATTAAACTCCATTTTTGACATTTAAGCCCCTATTGCATTTTTTTTCCGAAAATTATTAAATTTTATCAAAAAACGGTTTAATTGAGCCGAAAACAACATCGAAATACGTTTTTAAACTCCCAATCTATGTATTTAAAGTGATTTTAAATCTTGGGAAGAAATTATCCGCTCAAAATTAATCATTCAAGTTTTATAAACAAAAACCTAACCTCACTTTTGTGGTTTCAATTTTGTGGTGATTTATTTTAAGGAAATGTTAGTAAGTCAATTTATTTTATTAATTAATTGAGTAATTTATTAATTTATTTTTCTATAAAAACTTAAAATAAATTTATTTTTTTTTAATTAAAAGAATTAGCTCCATCTATCGTTCATATTAACCTCTATTTTTGACATTTAAGCCCCAATTGCATTTCTTTCGAAAATTATTAAATTTTACCAAAAAACGGTTTAATTGAGCCGAAAACAACATCGAAATACGTTTTAGAACTCCCAATCTATTTATTTAAAGTGATTTTAGGTCCCACGAAGAAATTATCCTCCCAAAATTAATCATTCATGTGTCATAACCTCACTTTTTACATATCAATTTAAAATTTTTAACTTTTTTTAGTATTCCAACTGATGTTCCATATGCTTGCGCAAGATTTGAATATGAATTGGGTTATATGCCGGATTGTTTATTAAGTAGTACGTTAAAAAATATCATCCATTCGTCTCATATTAAAGAGGGAGGTCATTTTGCGGCATTCGAAGTTCCTAAATTATTGGCGGATGATATTTGGGTGGCCGTTGGGAAGATGGAAAAGTTTCATGCGGATAAGAAACAAGAAAAGAATTAATTTGAATTATTTTTGTATAAATTTTTAATAAAAGATTATCGTTTTATTGGAATTTCATTATTGACTTCCTTTAATTGCGAATATAGCAATTAAGATTTATGCAACAAACGCAACGTTATAAGGTGACTATTGTATTCGCACTTAAAGGTTGCAATTTGAAATTGTAATCTTTTTTACTTCCTATTTTTCGATTTCTATTCAAATTATCAAACAATAGTTTTGAATAATTTAAAATTTCATATAAATACCTTCAATATTTTCAGTTTAAGATTATATTTCATCATGGACTCCTCCGCTGTTGTAATAACAGGTAATTTTAACTTATTTTGTAATTTATAACATCCTTTCATTCCCAAATTGTTATTTATTAAGGTGTATCGGGAAGTTTCCCCGAATCTGAAAATGTCAACGAATTTCGAGACAACCTCTTTAACGACGTCGATCTTGTTACTGATGATGAGCGTCGTTGGACACATTTTCATCCGGAAATTCCACGGAGAAGCGGAAAACTCAAAGATATCACAAAATTTGATTCTGGATATTTCGGAGTTTCGAAAAAAACCGCCGATTGTATGGAGCCTTTAGTTCGGCTACTTGCTGAAAGAGTTTTTGAGGCAATGGTCGATGCCGGACATCACCCTGATGATTTTGAAAACGAAAAAGCCGCAGTTTTCGTCGCCGGGTGTTCGTTAGAATCGGAAATGATTACTTTTTGTAAGACACCAACGAACGCTGAAGTTATGGGACGGTAAAAATTTGTAAAATTAACTTTTTTCCTTGTATTTATTTCCTTTTAATAGTTCCACAAGATTCGCAGTTGCTTCCCACATTCCATACTTCTTTAAATTGAATGGTACAACCACTTTGGTTGATACAGCATGTAGCAGCTCAATGTATGCTTTAGATGCTGCATATAATGCTTTTAAACGGGGTGATTGTGATAAAGCCATCGTTTGTGGAACTTCACTTTGTATCCAACCTTTTGGAACGTTACAATTTGCGAGGTAAGTTTTTTATAATTTGATTATAATTGATTTATGATTTAATTAAAAAAATTTTAGATTAGGAGTTTTAAGCTTGGATGGTTCTTGTAAATCATTTGACGATGCAGGAAATGGTTATGTTCGTTCAGAAGGTGTCGTTGCAATAATTTTGGAAAGAGCCCCAAGTGCAAAAAGAATTTACGCCCAAGTGGTTCATTCGAAAACGAATTGCGATGGTTATAAAGAAGAAGGGATCACTTTTCCATCATCAAAGCTTCAAAAAACGTTAATGAGGGAATTCTATGATGAGTGTCAAATCGACCCGGCATCATTAACTTTCGTAGAAGCTCATGGAACTGGTAAAAAACTAAATTTAAATTACAAAAATTTAAAAATCATGATTTTAGGTACGCCGGTGGGTGATCCGCAAGAATTGGCTACAATAGATGAAATATTTTGCAAAAATCGCGATAAACCCCTCCTTTTAGGATCGATTAAATCGAATATTGGTCATAACGAGCCTGTTTCTGGGTTATGTTCGATCGTAAAAGTATTAATCGGCTTTGAATCCGGTTTTATTCCCCCAAACAAAAATTTTAAAACCCCCAGAAAAGGAGTTAAAGCCTTAGAAGAGGGCCGATTAAAAGTTGTGACGAAAAAAACACCATGGCCTGATAAAGACGTTTACGTTGGAATCAACAGCTTTGGATTTGGGGGTGCAAACGGGCACGTTTTATTACATTGGAACAATAAAGATAAAAATTCGATTAAAAATTATCAATGTAAAATCCCAAAAATGATTTGTTTAAGTGGAAGGACCCAAGAATCGCTTAAAAACACTTATCAAAATCTCATCAGAAACGATTTCGACCCGGAATTAATAAAATTAATTCACCAAGTTTATAAAAAAAAATTTTTGAATCATTTATACGATGGATTTTTAATTTTCGATGAAAAATTAGTGATTGAAAAAAGTATTTCGAAAAGGGTTATTAACAAAAATAAATTGACGATTATTTTTAACGATTTTAAACATGATGCATTAAAATTACACGAAATTTTAATTAATATTCCGAGATATGAATTAATTTACGACGAAATTAAAAAAATTATTTACGAATTAAACATTGTTTCGAACGAAATTAATAACATTTTAATCCAATTGATTTTGGCGGGAATTTTAAAATCCGTTCTAATTAAAACTGAAAATGTAACGTCGATTGGGGTTAATTACGATTTAAAAGTAATTTCGAATTATTACAACGGTGAATTAAGCTTGAAAGAGGCTGTATTAAAACTTTGTACTAAAAAGCATCAATTAAATGGGGATTATGAGGATGTTTTTGGAAATGTTGATGGTGATGTTGTTTTAATTGGAAATGATGAGGATTTTGGGTTAAATAATCGCGGTTTGATTCGATTAATTGATCAACGGGGAGATGTTATTGTTAATTTTTTGAAATCTTTGGGGAAATTGTTTTTGAAAGGTTTTTCAGTTGAGTTGGATCAAATTTATCCGGAAATTCAATACCCGGTGAGTCGAGGAACCCCGATGTTGGCTCCACTTATTAAATGGGATCACCGAAAAGATTGTTATACTTACAAATTTTCATCAAAGAAAGAAACGAGGTTAACAGCTCAAGATTTCGTGCATGTTAACCCGAAGGAAAGTCAGTGGGACTTTGTTATGGGACATATAATTGATGGTAAGTTAATTTTATTGTTGTAAAACTTCTCTAGCTAGTAAAGTATCCTCCTCTTCCTTTTCCAATTCATATTATATCGTAATAAACCTTCAGAGACAAGTTTTACATAAAAGAGAAACATAACCTCAATTCAATTGACAGTTAATTTTTAATTACTCATAATTCTCTTAAAACTGTTAATATACATTCTAAACCATCCAAAACGGGGAGATCGGTGTTAGTTACATCTAATTTATTAAATTAAGGAAGATTTTGAACGATTTTGACTTTGTAAATTGGATTTGAAATTTGTAAATTTCAAACGTTTTTTGTGGTTGGAAAATCTTGAAACCTTCAATGGACGGGTGAAATAGAAGGATATATTCATCAAATACCAAGTTTTATTCAGATTAGTGAAGAATTAAAGAAGATATGAATAAAATAAGTTTTGGAATTTTGGGTGGTTCGAAAAAAATCCGCTAGATGGCGTTTTCGCAATTGAGAAAGATTTGAAATTATTTTAAAGAAAAAAATGGCGCGAAAATCGTCGACCAATCAGGAGCGAGGGTTAAAAATAGAACGAAGAAAATTTTTTGGGGAAGGGGAAAAGGGTATATAAGAAGAGGAAAAAGTTGAGCGAAGACAGTTCAATTCAGTAAAGGGAAGAGGACTGTTGAATTTTGATAAAAAAATCTAACCTAAATTGGTTCTTCGATGATTTAAATTTAACACCGAATCAAGATTTTATTAATTGAGGATAAATTAACCGAACCCGAGTTTCCGGATTCCTGTCCATTTTCCATTCCTAAGAAGAACCTTCTAATCCAATAGAGAGGCCTACAACATAACCTAAAAGCTATTTATCAGATAAGTGCAATATTTTCATAGACTTTTCTGCCGATGTAATAAAAACTAAAACTAGAAATTTTCGGGTTATAATTGTTATAAAACTTTATTATCTTGATGCAACAAGTCATTTTTTTTAAAGATGTCGGCGCTTATTGACAAATCACCATGGTAACGGCAGGGTTGAAAACTTTTAAACGAAAAATTATTTAATCGCAAATTTTTCGTACACTTTTTTGCCAATGTAATAAGAAATAATACTACAACATCAAAATTTCTAGTTTTAGTTTTATATCTAACGCGAAATGGGTTGAATACATTTTTTTAAAATTAAAACGTCAAAATATGTCATTCAAAAGTGGGGTTAGGTTGTGTTATTAAAGTGAGGTTAGGAATCTTCAACATCATTTTTGAGTACCAACACGGCCGTTTTCGAAGACATCGGCCGCCCCCGGCCATCGGAGATAGCTCCATCTGTTAGAAAGAGGCAAAAAAAAGTAGGTTTTTGACGTTTTTTACGTCTTTGATCAACGACATAACCTCAAAATTTCTAGTTTTAGTTTTATTTCTAACGCAAAATGAGTTGAATACATCTTTTTTTTAAATTAAAACGTCAAAATATAATGTCATTTGAAAGTGAGGTTAGGTTGTGTTATTAAAGTGAGGTTAGGATTCTTCAATATCATTTCGAGTACCAACACGGCCGTTTTCGAAGACATCGGCCGCCCTCGGCCATCGGAGATAGCTCCATCTGTTAGAAAAAGGCAAAAAAAAAGGTTTTTGATGTTTTTTTACGTCTTTGATGAACGACATAACCTCAAAATTTCTAGTTTCAGTTTTATTTCTAACGCGAAATGGGTTGAATACATTTTTTTAAAATTAAAACGTCAAAATATAATGTCATTTGAAAGTGGGGTTAGGTTGTGTTATTAAAGTGAGGTTAGGAATCTTCAACATCATTTTTGAGTTCCAACACGGCCGTTTTCGAAGACATCGGCCGCCCCCGGTCATCGGAGATAGCTCCATCTGTTAGAAAGAGGCAAAAAAAGTAGGTTTTTGACGTTTTTTACGTCTTTGATGAACGGCATAACCACAAAATGTCTAATTTTAGTTTTATTTCTAACAAGGTGAGTTGAATACTTTTTTTTCTTCATTAAAAAGGCCAAAACACAACGACATTTGAAAGTGAGGTTAGGTTGTGTTATTAAAGTGAGGTTAGAAATCTTCAATATCATTTTCGAGTACCAACACGGCCGTTTTCGAAGACATCGGCCGCCCCCGGCCATCGGAGATAGCGCCATCTGTTGAAAAAGGGCTAAAAAATGTAGGTTTTTGACGTTTTTTACGTCTTTGACGCACGACATAACCTAAAAATGTCTAATTTTAGTTTTATTTCTAACGCAAAATGGGCTGAATACGTTTTTTTTAAATTAAAACGTCAAAATATAATGTCATTTGAAAGTGAGATTAGGTTGTGTTTTTAAAGTGAGGTTAGGAACCTTCAATATCATTTTCAAGCACCAACACGGCCGTTTTCGAAGACATCGGCCGCCTCCGGCCATCGGAGATAGCGCCATCTGTTGGAGAAACGCTAAAAAATGTAGGTTTATGACGTTTCTTTACGTCTTTGATGCACAGCCAAGGTTTATAGAACATAAGGTTACCTCATTCCCTATGCCTCTGTAGTATCGATTATTACCCCGCAAATTGACGTCACTGGTTCGATACAGTCAGAATAAAAGATAGCCTATACACGTGCCTATACTGTGGTACAGTCTATATAAAATATTTAAACCTCGCATCGTGTTGTGTTGTTCATAGAACCAGCTACGTCACTGACCCACCTTGCCTCTCGGAGGAGGAGAATCGGTATTGGGTAACCTTATGTTCTATAGACCTTGATGCACAGCATAACTTCAAAATGTCTAATTTGAGTTTTATTTCTAACACAAAGTGAGTTGAATACATTTTTTTTTTCATTAAAAAGGCCAAAACACAACGACATTTGAAAGTGAGGTTAGGTTGTGTTATTAAAGTGAGGTTAGGAATCTTCAACATCATTTTCGAGTACAAACACGGCCGTTTTCGAAGACATCGGCCGCCCCCGGCCATCCCAGACGCTACAACATTAAGAACCTTGAGTTCTTGGGGGCGGCCGACGTCTTCGAAGTCGGCCGAGTTCATTTTTTGTTACAAAGTACTCCTCGATTTATATTTAAGTCTTTGACGCACGCCATAACCTCAATATTTCTAGTTTTAGCTTTATTTCTAACACAAAATGAGTTGAATACATTTTTTTCTTCATTAAAACGTCAAAATACAATGTCATTTGAAAGTGAGGTTAGATTGTGTTATTAAAGTGAGGTTAGGAATTTTCAACATAAGAACGTTGAGTTCTTGGGGGCGGCCGACTTTACTTTTACTTTTTGTTACAAAGTACTCCTCGATTTAGATTTAAGTCTTTGACGCACGACATAACCTCAAAAATTTCTAGTTTTAGTTTTATTTCTAACGTCAAAAAATGTCACTTGAAAAAAAAAAACGCGCAGAGATAGCGCCATCTGTTGGAATAAATCTAAAATGTACGTTTGTAACTAACTTCTCATCATGTCAAATATTTTAACCTAATTTTAAAACGCAAATTACTAATTGATTTCTTTTTTTATAACGCAAAACGTGTAAGAGTAAGTAAAATGACCCAAATTTCTTTTTAATTTTATGACTTACGTTATTTCGACTCTTTTTTTCGTCTTTTAATAAGTATTTTGGTTCACAACAACATAAAAATTATTTCTTTTTAGGTAGAAATCTTTATCCTGCGACGGGTTATCTATGTTTAGCTTGGGAAACTTTGTGCGCATCCCTCGGAACGATTCCACAAGAAACAACGGTCGTTTTCGAAGACATAAAATTCCTCCGAGCCTCGTACGTCCCCTCAAAAGGAACGTTATCTTTAAAAGTAACAGTAAATTCCGGCACAAAATCCTTTTCGATATCAGAAAACGAAAATGTTTTGGTGGCGGGAAAAATCTCCATCTCGGAAAATGAAGGTTTTTACCGAAACAATCATTTAGAAAGGGGTTATTTAATGGATAGAGAGATTTTCATGGAGAAAAAGGATGTTTATAAAGAATTAAGATTACGAGGTTATAATTATCAGTATGTTTTGAACATTTTTAATTAAAAGAAATTAACTTATTTAATTTAAGGGGTGAGTTCAAATCGATTGAGCGCTACGGATTGAGCGGAAAATTAGCCGTAATTTCATGGAAACAAAATTTCGTCTCATTCATGGACAACATGCTACAACTACAAATTTTAGAAAAAGATAGTCGCAATTTATACGTTCCAACAAGCATCAACAAAGTGATAATTGATGCTAAAAAACACCAAGAATTCGCCCAGCTATACAAAAACGAGTTACCCGCTTATTTATTTAAAGAAGTTAATATAATTAGGTAAATTTTGAATTAAAAGTAATAAATTAACTCAAATTTAATAATTTATAGTTCTGGAGGTGTTGAAATAAGCGGATTAGGAGCCAGCAACATCGCAAGAAAAAAACCACCATCCCCTGTGTTAGAAAGTTACAAATTCGTCCCAAATCGCGCAAAATTAACCTCAAAAAACGCAATCCGATGCATAATCCAAACAATTTTAGAAAACACCAACACCATCAAAGTAAAAGCAATCGAAATAATCAAAAACGACCAAACCGACCCTTTAATAACCAAAATACAACAAACATTAAACGATTTACCTTTAATCCAACCCGAATTAACGGTGTTTTCGAAAAATCCTAACCTCAATTTGGATGAGTCGATTTTAATTCAGAGCGAAAATTTAAAATTAGACTCCGATTATTTAGTTATAATCGCAACAAATTTGTTAAATAATAACTTAAATGATGGTTTAAGGATGGTTAAAAACGTTTCTGGGTTTGTTATAACTAAAGAAGAAAATTTTAATGAGGATTTTAACGATAAAATTGATGTTTTGTGTTGTTATGAAACTGAAATTGGGAAATTATTGCTTTTAAAGGAATCGAATTCACCACCGAGCTTAATCGAACCGATTTTAATCGATGTTTCATCAATCGATGATTTAAAATGGGTCGAAACGATTAAATTTGCGAAAAATAATAACAAAAAAATCATTATTTATTCGCAAAATAAGCTTAGTGGGAGTTTAGGATTGATTAATTGTCTTAGGAGAGAATTTCCTGGTGATGATATAACCTCGATGATAATTATGGATGAAAAAACGCGATTTGATTTGAATAACTCGTTTTTTAAAAAGCAATTAAATAAAAATTTAGCTATAAACGTCTTAGAAAATAATCAATGGGGAAGTTATCGACATCTTTTACTTGATCCCGATTTAGAAGTTGAAAATCAACACTGTTATGTCAACGTAACCACGAAAGGTGATTTATCGAGTTTGAAATGGCTCGAAGGGTCGATTAATCCATCAATTAGGAGTGAATTAAACGCGAAAAAAATTGTCGATGTTTATTATGGGGCGATAAATTTTCGTGATGTTATGTTGGCTTCTGGGAAATTATCTGCTGATGTTATTACGAGTAATAGGATTCTTCAAGAAAACGTTCAGGGTTTTGAATTTTCTGGAGTTGTTAGAAATGGGGAAGAAAAAGTAATGGGGATGATTACGAGCGGTGCTTTATCAACGATCGTTGAAGCAGATCCAAAATTTTTATGGCCAATTCCTAATAGGTGGAGTTTAGAAGAAGCTGCTACAGTCCCTGTTGTTTATAGCACGGTTTTATATGCTTTTATAATGGTAAGTTTTGTTTTATTTAATTAATTTATATGTTTTTTAACAGATTAACAAACTTTTAACTCTTAAAACATTAACGCTCTTTTTTAACAAAAGAAATATTATGAAACTTGGAAAAAATCATCAAAAAACGCGTTAAAAATAAAAAGACAGTGCGAAAAAGTGACTAACACTAAATTAACTTCAGTTATAAAACTTCTATTACATGATAACTAACTTCAGGTTTAAAATGTCAACCTCAATTTTAACATATTTGTAATCTTTATTAAAAATCCTTTAAAATGAGTACAAACACGACATATTTATCTTCAATATTAATGAAGTTATGGTCAACTTCCGGTTAAAAATGTCAACGTCAATTTTGACATATTTGTAATCGTCGTGAAAAATCCTTTAAAATGAGTCCAAACACGATACGTTTAATTCCAATATTACTCGAGATACAAGCAACTTCCGGTTTGAAATGTCAATGTCATTTTGACAAATTCTTAATTTTTATAAAATGTCTTAATATTTGTCACAAAAGCAAAAATATAATAAAAAAAATCAAAAATTAAGGTTGGTATTAATATTTAAAAATTAAATTAGTTGCCAACTTCAGGTTTGATGTTTTTTAATTCTAACTTTTTTGTTTTTAAAGTTAAATACGTCGAGTTTGGACTCATTTTAAAGAATTTTGTATGAAGGTGACAAATATGTCAAAATTAAAAATTGGAAGTTCGAACTTTTTGGTTTTTGAGATCAATGCATCATGTTTGGACTTACGTTAAGAATACACCATGAAGTTGTTCATTTGTCTATTATATGATAACTAACTTCAGGTTTAAAAAGGTCAACCTCAATTTTGACATATTTGTAATCTTTATTAAAAATCCTTTAAAATGAGTACAAACACGACATATTTATCTTTAATATTAATGAAGTTATGGTCAACTTCCGGTTAGGAATGTCAACGTCAATTTTGACATATTTCTAATCTTGATTAAAAATCCTTTAAAATGAGTACAAACACGACATATTTATCTCCAATATTAATGAAGTTATGAACAACTTCCGGTTAGGAATGTCAACGTCAATTTTGACATATTTGTAAT